TGTATGTGGCTGGCACCTTAGCCACTTGAGCCACAGGCACCGAGCCTTTTTTTTTTTTTTGAGACAGAGTCTCACTTTGTCACCCTGGGTAGTGTGCTGTGGCATCACAGCTCACAGCAACCTCCAGCTTTTGGGCTTAGGTGATTCTCTTTCCTCAGCATTCCAAGTAGCTGGGACTACAGGCGCCCGCCACAATGCCTGGCTATTTTTTCACTGTTGTAATTTTTAATCATCTTTGTTTACTGTGGCTTTAAGATGTGTTAATAGCTCCCAATACTGTGTCTTGTTCTCTTTTCTCTCCTCATTTCCAAACTGAAATGAAAATTGTTTTTTCAACCAATTCTTTAAACTGCTACTTTGACTTGAGTAGAGTCCCTGGCTGTGCTTGAACACAGCTGCTCTGGAGTTCTCAGAAGTTATTGTTTTGTGCTTGTTAAGACTGAGTTTTTCCTAGGCTGCAGTGGGAGGTACTTGGTGTTATAGCAGGCTCCTATCCACATCTGAAGGGGAGGAGCCTTCTCTTTGGAAGGAAGTTTTAGGTGGAACAAATAGCACTGCCATGTAAATGTTTAATAATGACAGCTCTCTTCTTGAGACTATTTGGCAGGCTGGCATATAATTGTCGCTTATCCTTTGATAAAGATAGTAAAGTTAAGGTCTAGACGTTTCTTTGAGAAAAACAAATATAACATTTATTAAAAAAGAAAAAATACTCGTTTCTTTTATTTTTGTTTTCTCTGAAAATGGTTCTACGGTTTTGGAATTGATGAAAAAGTCTTGTCTTTAAAAAACGTGTCAAAGAAAACTGTGTTTAAGCTTCTCTGGCTTTTATTTATTTTTAAATGTTATCTTCCCCAAAGAGGCTTTTTCTGGAATCAAGTGTATTAATGGTATGTGAAAATGCATCATATTTGGAATCCCTAATGATTGGTCTTTTAACTTATGAATGCTATTTATTTTTTATTTTTTTATTTTTTAAGACGGAGCCTCAAGCTATCCCCCTGGGTAGAGTGCCATGGCATCACGCTCACAGCAACCTCCAACTCCTGGGCTCAAGCGAG